TGATGCTATTTAGTCAATCTTAGTTTAAACTATTTTCAAAATATTTAACCTACAGCCTAAAAATCACTGCAGAAACAAGCTCTTTGTCACGAGGGAAGAGATTATTTTTAATTTTTAATGCTCTGACAGCAAAGAACTCTTTGAAGATGTTCTACGTACACAGAAATAGTTTGCCAACTTTTCAGCAATTCTCTCGCCTCTCAGAGGGGCCCTTTTCACAAGGCTCTTCACACCGGTTCTAGCTCCTAGCACGGGAACAGCCTGAGAGCATGCTAAAGAACTGAATTAGAAACAAGCTTCAACTGTTCTAAGACCTTTCCCAGACCCTTGTCTCTTGCTAGAGCTCTTCATTTTTGGCCTTACCATGGAGTTGATATTGAGTGGTGAACCTGACGGTTGCGTAAAGAGTCCAGACACAGTAGGTAAGGATTTGCGTTTAGGGGAGACCCCGGAGTTCCCGCTGAGATTCCCAGTAGAGGATCTCTTCCGCCGGCCTCGCTTCTTCCCATCCTGCGCATGTGCTTGGCCACAGTCCAGCCGAGCGCTCGTGGGCAGAGGACTGTGCTTGTTGGAAGGGGATTGTTTTACATGTCCTGTATTAGGAGAGATCGTAAAGATGATTCTTCTCTTGGCCTCGTTCTCAGGATCTGAAAACGCTGCATCAGACTGAAGATCCCCCTTTGTTCCTTCGGCAAACATCTTCTGAGCATCTGCATATTGCAATACCCCTACCAGGCTCTGGGAGGTGCCATTTAACCTGGGGCTTGTTGAGTGCTGGTGAGCAGGGGAGTTTTGCCCAGAGTTCCTTGACTGCATCATTAGCAAAGGATGTTGTGGAGTGGAACTCCGAGACCCTACTGAGTTAAACAGACTCCCAGAGTCGTCCAGAGCTGCCTGATCAACACTATGGTTAAGATGGGCTGGGCTGTTTGTAAGATTTCCATTGACTGCCACGGAGCCAGAAGAGTAAGAAAAACCTGTTGAAAGGGAAAGTATACATCATTGCTTCTGCTGAGTGAGAGGTCACAGTGCTAGGTTTCGGGGATGGCTGGGAGTGGTTTCAGCTCTACCTGCGGTCCATCAGCCAGCAGCTGTGTGTTACACAGGAAGCTGCCCAGCTGCTTTTTGCACAGCGCAGCTGAGAACGTGGCTCTGTGCGCCGATGGTCTCAGTTAGGGGTTAACGATTTTCATTACTCGTTTGCCAGGTCGGGAAAATTCATGTGTTATATGGAGATAGCCTGTGCTCTATCCGGTTTTTAAAAGGAATTCAAGTGTAAGTTTCTTTTGTTACACCTTTTGAAATCAGGGCTCCTCTACTCTCAACTCCTTCCTATCGTCCAGGAAATAGACGGGCAAATTCAGTCCATTTCCTTCCCCAAAAAAGAAGGGACTGTGTCATCTATTCAGCCCACCTCCTTCTGAAAATTAAAGAAAAAGCTGTGGCTTAGGGAGTGACAGGGGATCTTCAAAGAAAATGTGTCAGAAGAATGCCACATGGGAGGAAGCTTGGGAAGGGAATTACGTAGTTTTCACGGTGTATCGTAAATGAGTTTAGTGCTCCAGTAAGGCCTTGTCTCTGGGCTGTCTAAATCAAAGGGGTAGAAGGGAAAACTGTATTGGTTTACTACAAGATTTTTTTTTAAACTGGTTTTCTATAAAACTGCAGCCAAGCCCTTCTTTGCAAAACAGATGCAAGAAACAACACAAGCCCCTCGAGGTGGGAAACATGAAGAACAAATGTGCTCTCTGATGAGGGATCAGCTGTAGAATAGCTTCTGTAGGCTAGAACTTACTTTTCCTGGTCCACAACATTTCCGTATCCTGAGCAGCTAAAGGCCACAACTCCACCAGATGACTGAGTTCAGAAGCAATGTCTGCACTTCAAGGTTATCCCTACCCTCTCCTGTTGGATATTTTTCCTACTCAGATACTTTACAACTGCTCATGAGGCACCATTGTGACCTGCAGCAAGAAATTCATTTTGCTATTAAAAAAACTCCACCACCCTGTAAAATAAAACTTGTAAAGCCGGATCATCAGCTCATAGCACAGCTACGCAACACTTTCCTTTGCAATGTGGCAACCAGCAATCTCTTAATCCATATAGAAGAATTTACAAAAGCAATTCTTTATTTCCACTGCAAGGTGCTGCAGTTCAGGTAAAGCACGTCAAACCAATACTTTATGCCAGAATGCATCCGAGCTGTAGGCACATACTGTCTCAAAACATCACCATCCGTGACGCTTTGGTCTCGTTACAAAACACACATTTCTCTAGCGCTCTACTGCCTGAATGACCTGACAAGAAGTGCTCGGAAAACTCCGATACGTGCACTCGGGAGTGCTGTCACGACGAGACACAGCGCACCTTCGCGTAGACGAGGCCGTTACCTGAGGTAGCCAAAGCCAGTGGCTTGTTTCCAGCAGCATTGCTTACGCCATTATGAGAACTAGCACCAATCTGCTTTTCAAGTGTCGATGAGTCTCTACTCTGATGAACTGGGCTAGGTGTGCTTCTCTGGGGAAGAGAAAAACAGACATTTTAGTACAGGAAGGACACCCAAAAGTCAACAGTTCAAACAAATTCACATGCATTAGTAGATCTACCAAGGAAAGTGGCTCTACCTCCTATATGTCCTAGATTTTGCTTGTTCTGAGAAAAATATAGATCAGCATGTTATGGGACAAAAATAAATATCCAGTTAATGATCCTGCAATAGTATCTAGGACACAACTGATACCATGCAGATAGAGGGAGAACAGGCTCATCCTCCCAGAAAGTTTAGACTCAGGGCAGCACTGCAATCAGAGAACAACCGCCTCAGGCTGCTGCTTCACAGGCAGCCAGAAAGGAAACAAATGACTGTATCGTGTCCCCGAGCCTGTGCACACGAAGCTCCCCTAAACAACCCCAAACTGAACAGGCAATGCATTAGGCTATGTTCTCTGGGACGCTCTCTGAGGGTATGATCACCAAGAGGTGTTTCCTAAAGCGGGCTAAACACCTGTGAAACGGCAGCCTGAATAAACCATCTGCCGAAGGGAAGATGCTATCCAGAGCACCCGCTCTGAGGACATACAGCTTCTGCTCGGAGCTGGGCAGACTGTAGTTTTGCTACAGCTAAAAGTCTACACATGGAAAAAGATAATGGATTCACTACAACGAAACAACTCCAGCTTTCCAAAGATGGGATTGGTACAGCAAGCGTTTGTGGATTTGCAGCTCTTGTGCCAGCAGCACAAACTCTTCTGCCTCAGAGTAGCATGGACTGATCAGGATTTCAAAAAGAGATGGTTCCAAAAGTTCTCTAGCTGCTCTCTGCTGAGCAGTCACTCACACATTAGGTAGTACAGCCTCAAGGTGCTGTTCAAGTTCATCCTACACATGGATGTGATAAAGCCAGACAATTTTGGGATGACCAAACTGAGGGAGAAGAATTTGTCTCCCAGAGTCTGTAAGAAGGCAGGGGCTAAGAACAAACTGACATGGGTGATTGCTTTCACTGCCACAAACTCTCAGACTCTGCACCTCTTCCACCCAGCCAGACGTTTAAGACTAGGATCTCCTGAGGCATGTACTCTACTTTCCTTCCTGGTTGAAATACCACCACCCCACAGACAAGAGAGAGTAAAAATCTACAGACTAACTACGAGCCAAGAGAACGCATCCCGACAGCAGCCTCCCCCGAAGCATCAGACATTTGAAATTAGCGGCCCACCAAGGATCCCGGTGCACAGCACCCCATTACTGCCCAGTGTGATTTTAGTTAGGGATGGAAAGTGTTGACAATCCCTTACTCACCACCTTCTCAACACGGCTAGGTAGGACTACGCTGGCCAGAGGGATACTAACAGGGAGTTTATTGGGCTGCACTGTGCTGAGAGGAATACTGATAGGTAGGCTGGTGATAGTTTCTCCATTACTCACAGAGGTTCTCTCTCTCAAAACCTGTAAATGCAAAGAGAAAGTAATGTTCTTCATTGCATGCTATTACTGAAAAGACTTTTTAAAGTAATGGTAACCTGCTCATTTATGTTCCCCCCCCCCCTTCTTTTTTTTCTTTGAAGATCACCCAATTAAAAGTGATAATTATATAGCAAAGACAGGGCATGCATGGAGCAGCTTTGCTACCAACACCAGGCTACTGCCACAGCAATATCCAACAGCACAGAAATACGTAAATTAAAGCTACTGCTGGCCCCAAGCATAAGCTCATTTCCCAGTGTCATTGTTAGAGCTCTCTGAAAAGCACTCATCTGACAGAATTCACATCCTGAGGCCCTCTGTACGCAGAAGGTGCAGCAGCCAGAAATATTTCCATGGTAACCTGCTACTGGAGAGCACCTGCATGCTCCGAAACGAGCAATATGATTGCTCCAGTACGATTCATGGCTGGACCAAGGCAGTGGACATTTTTTTTGTTATTTTTTATTTTTTTAACTATGAAAAGAGTCTACTTTTCAAGGTCAAGTAGACACACATCGGATCAAAAACAAGTCCTACAGCATTACCGGCACAGTCCATACGCAAACCAGCAACTCAGAGGTAAGCACATCTTTCATGAGCACAGCATTCTCTCATCTAGCCAGTACCTTCTTTTTATTGTACCACACCTACTGTACTTTGAGTCATTTTCCACACCTAGGTGACCACAGAAAGGAGCATGCCTGCATCCCCTAGTTTGGCCAACTTTCTTTGTTCTACCAGGTGTAACACTTCTGCGCTTGAGCACAAGCAGATCTCTTACCTTCTCGCCTGCAATTGGTAAGGCCGCTGGGGAAGAGGGCCGAGTTTCCTGAGGACTCAGCTTTATGCCATTTGAAAGACCAGGGCTCGGATATGTAAGGCCATTCTCTTTGACATGGTCAGCTCTGGAACAGAAACGTACCATCATTAGAATACAAAAGCTCATGACTTCTCTTTTGCAAGGAATGCCTGTACCAAACTCAAGGCACTGTACCGCCGTATTTCCCCGGTCAGCTGTCACTGCTGGTTTTCCTGATGCTAAACCTTTGCAAGAGTATAAAACTCCACTTTTAAAATTTTTTTCCACAATCCAAATAAACCATCGCTGTTAAAAACAAGCAATAGTATTACCCCTCCTTTCCCGTGCTAGCGAATGATCACTCTTACCTCTGGATCTCGTTAGTTGCTGCTTTTCCGTTGACTGCATGGTCTTGATTCAAGTGTCTCCTTAGTGCTATTTTAGCCGGGGAAAACCTGGTATAATCGGGTAAGGACAAGCTCGTCATCTTGTCTGCCTTCTGTCTGCTGCCGTGGTTTGGGGTACACGGAACGATTTCTTGGTCCAGATGAGAGGTCGTGTACTGAGGGGTGTTCTGCTTGGAAGAGGGCCTGCTGAAAGTGTTATGAATTTCGTACGGAGTAGCATGGCCGTTCATGGACAGCTCGGGGCTCATGCCGTTGATGTGGGGCATAGGAAACTTAGAGCATTCAAGCTCCAGTTGGAACCTGCCATGATCAGCCTCAGGATCCCGGCTCAGATGGTTTTTATTGCGTAGCTGTACTGACAGGGACTCATCAGACGGTGTGTACGACTTCAGCTGCATGAGCTCCTGCTGTCTTTGACTCTTCTCAAGTTCCACAATGCTGATCTTTAAACAAAGAAGAGGACAACGATTGAAGACCGTACTTAACAATTCTATCACATTATGACGTTTTGCCTTGATATGCTTCTCAGGAAAAGCGGCCTCATTTCTGGGAACAATGCAGAACAATTGACCCAAAATTTGAGAAACAAATTTCAACACGCTGCTCTGAGCTTGAGACCAAAAGGTGCAGGTAAGGGGAATGGCTCAGAGACTCTCAGAAAGCACCTCTCAGATCTTGAAAGCAAACATGAAATATCTCCGACTCATATAGAGAGCATGGAGTAACTCAATACTGCCAGTCATTGAAGGAAGCAGTGACTCCATGTCAAGGCACCCAGCAAAACGCTGGATTAGCTCTAGTGCTAATCTCACAGGGAAAGAAAAGTTCTCCAGTCACAGGAGCTTAATTTCTTCTCTCTCTGGTAAGTGACATTCTGTGGGAACTGATTCCTGAATCAAGACATCAGAGCACACGGAAGCCATTACAATGAAGCCACATATTATGCAAACAAGCAGGACTTTTCTTTTCACCTTGTCATTGCTTTTTAACTAGATTTCGTGATAAATCACGATTCCTTCTTCCACAGCACTACCAAGGAATCCGGTCATAGCATCTACTTCCTTTAAAAATTATCCACATCTTTATTCTTCAGGTTTACTAAAGCCCTCTAACAAAAAGATTGATCTCTGGGGAAAGTGGGGGGAGGAAAACAGTCACTAGCTTATCCTTTAACATCCTATTTCCTCACATGCCCTTAACTGGCCCATTGCCCAAGAGCTACCCCAAGCTGGTGACCCAAGATTTATTTCTTGCTCTCTACCTGCAATTCCAAACAGTGCTTTTGTTTCTCAGAAATCTGATTCTTCAACGCCTGCTTCTCTTTCAGCAAGTTCTCCAGTGACAACGTTGACCAATCCAGCTTCAGTTCTTCACACCGGGCCTTAAGCTGCAGAGACAGAGGATAACCAGCTCAAAAGACAACTTTAACCACTTCACCCAACGAGTGAGCTGACAGCCACGCACCTTTCAACTGGATACGTGCAAGAACCTTCTTAGCCCACTGAAAACTCCTCTCAGCTTAAGCCAAATGCCACCAAAATGGTCCCATGGTCCCCACATACTGGGGCAGGAGGTGGCCTGGTTCTTTCTCAAAAGAGTATTATCACCTAGCCTCCCTAACCACTTCCACATCCAGAGTGGCCCCTCACCCACCTTAACAATGTGAGTTACCAAGAGGAACGAGACACGAGCTACGGCCACCACAAAGCAAGCACTGTACAAACTTCTTGATCCAGGTTCAGTGACAAAGTGCACTCTTTACAGGACGCAGCCGAGGCCAGAGCCAACTGGCACCTCAGCGTTCCGTCAGAGGCAAATAAAGGTCACCAAGAGAAAGGACCACCAAAAAAAAATCTGTTACAGAGCAGCTACAGCAGCTGGGTGATTTTTCCTTCGTTAAGATGCCTTGTAGACAGGGTCAGCCCTCGGCTCATGACCTGTCCTCCTTACGTCAATGGGAGCATCACCCTGCTACACACACAAGCGTTGTACACACCAGCTGTAAGCTCTGGTTCCTGAGTTCGCTGTTATCCTTCTCCAGCTGTTTCGTCTGTTCTTTCAGTTGCTGATTGTGAGCAGAGATTTCCTTCTGAGCCTGAATCAGGTCATTGTAGGTCAGAGCTTTAACTCCCAGCTACAAGATGAAGGGTGAGAAGGAAAGAGATCATTCAGTAAGGTCTTGTCACCCTAATTCCAGATGATTGTCACATTCAAAAGTGACACTGAAGAGATCAACAGAATTTATGCAGCTCACAGGAAGTCCCCCAGCATTCTCCAAGGCACTTGGTCACTGCTAGGGGATAACGAGGAAGGACAAAAGTACCTCACTTGGAGCTGCTGTTCCAGCAATTCAACTTTAAAACTGGCATTTAGTGTCTTGCCAGCCAAGAGAATACTATTTTTGTAGAGAGGCACCGTATTCCCTTCTGTGGCTCTGAACTTGCGTTAGCAACGCAGAGTTTGCTCAACCAGCAGGGGATGCATCCTTTACGAAAATACCCCAGTCTGCGGTCTGTCACCGCCTGCCCTTGGGCACAGAGTGGCACACAACAATTCCAACAACGAAGATAAATATAACCAAAGAGCAATACAGATCCCACATTATTTATAGCATGATCTGCTGCAAAACAGAGGCTGAAGACCTGAGACTGCTCTGGTCTTACTTATTTGTATGAAAAATGTTTGCACGCGGATGACTAACAGCATCCACTTCCACCAGCTCAGGGCTACCTCATCAAGTTTCTGCTGAAAAAGACGTTTGATTTCCTCTTTCTGTGCCTGGCAGTGGGTGAATAACTGCTGTGCTGTCCCCAGGAGCTGAGCATTCTTTTCCTGGAAGAGGGAAGAGTTAGAGAATACACTTTTAGCACCAACTAATGGAACTGGAGAAGATTATCTGTATGAAATCTGTTACTAAACCAGGAACAGAATCTAAATCTCCAGAGTCCCAATCCAGAGTTTTCCTACACAATACTCATGAAGACATGCAGTAAATGAAAATACCCTGGGGGGGGGAAGTAGGAAGAAAGTCATAAATAAGCCAAACCACTTCTATTTCTAATGCCAAAATTACTTCAGCAGGCTACCCGACCCTTCTACTTGCAGAACATTTCCTGCCCATAACATTCCCTAACTAGACACTTCCTTACTCCATGGCCATGCACTATGTGAGCAGCAAAGGGCAAGGCAAGGACTGGCTCAAGAGTCTCATTTATCCAGTTCCCAGTTGAAAGGAGACCGCAGCAAGAAGAGCAGGCTCTGGAGATTATGTTTTTCTCCAATTTTTGCTGCTGAGGCCAAATAGGAGTTGTGCAGAAACTGAGCCATCACTCCAGAAAAAGCACAGGCCAAGGGCAAAAAGCACCGTGATCCTCCAGGCAATCCACGTGGGAAGCGAAGCAGCAGTGCTGGCAAGTTCCACAGGACCTGGCGTACGGCTTCTGTTGCCTCTCACACCAACGACTTGGGAAAAAACAGTTGAGTCACTGCAATGCTAAACTGGCTGCCATAGGTGATGCTGAAAAAATCATTTCTGCCTTCAGCATCAGTCATTTCATTCAGCCTTTACAAGCAGTGGAGGGGCTGACAGCTCCATCTAAGGGTGATCTGGTGAACTAGCAGCTCACAGCATCTTGTTTATTTTAAAATCATATTACAGAAATGTTTTTCTTGTACTTAAAAAGCCTTCGTGTAAGAGGGAGTTATTAAATGGAATAAACAACAGCACTCATCCAGCAAAGTTCTCTTGTTTCGTGAAGTTTAACTTGCCATGCTCTCAGTGTAACACTCCATTAAAAAAAATATTTTCATACTGAATTCCTCATTTTCATGTCTTAAAGTATGAAACAGCTGTCAGACAACACCAAGTGATTACTTTTCCACCCTGTCAATTTATACTTTCGGTGTATGGCACCATACTTGCACGCTACCATTTCTCATGCCATTTTCTATGCAAGAAGATAAGTTAACTTTATGCTGGCTTTCCTGACAAGTACAGAAGTAGTAGAAAAATACGCTGCCTAAGGAAAAAGTTGAAAATTCAAAGTGCTGTTTGACTGTGAAAACAAATAGAAACAACCCTAGAAAGAAAGGTTTGCGTGCACGCCACATCAGCATCAACCAGTTCTTAATAACCAACAGGGTGGCACAAGTTAGCCTCTCTCATCTGGATAAAGAGTTCCTGTTACGGAAAACCCGAGGAAACAACGCTATGGCTTTATGCTGACACTTCCACAAAGGCCACAGAGCAAAGGACAGCTTCCACGGGGGCTACCAAAAGCTGGAATTGGCCAGAAATTAAAGATTATTGTTGAGCTCTATGGGGAAAGCTTCCTCCATAAAAGTGGCAAGCACAGTCTCTGTCATCAGGGCTAATTTATAAAGCAATTAAATTATTCATAATTGAGGTACAGCAAAACAAGAAAAGGTGTTTAGCCAGCAAATCTCCTCCCTCTGCTGGGGAGATGGATCCATAGCAGAGAAAAATGCCACACTTCACAGCTGCAGGATTTTCTTCACTTCCCTATGTATTTCAACCCACGACTTGGTAAATTCACACTTGGCTCACCAGCGTAATCTTAACACATTAAGATTACCAATACTAAGAGCGCTTCTTAAAGTCTCTTAAATCAGTGATGACAGTTTGGGTTTTTTAATCCCATATTTCCATTTGTTACAAGTTTAATGAGCCATCCTGACGCTACAGTAGTCAATTCATTTAGGTTTTCCTACAGTGGGGAAAGAATAATGTCAAAAACAGAAAATTCAGCTCCAAGGAATCAGTATCTGTGTGTTTTTCAAGACAGCCCTCATTCAAAGTTGCTACAATCCTTAGTTAGATGAAGCAGAATTTAATTATCTAAGAGCAGTTCGACCAGCAGCTCGCAGGATAGGGAAGCCCCTCCGAGTGGAGGGCAGGAATGTACTCAGGCAGTGCACACGGCTGGAGATGCTGACCACCACCTCTTGCTCCTGTGGCCCACGAGACATTTAGAGAAGAAAAGCAGTTGCCAATCCCAAATGGAAGAAAAGGACAGAGTTCAACATACCAGCTTCCTGAATGGGTACACACAGCCTCGTGTCAAAATAAAGGAAAAATCAGAAACAGTGAATTAAGTCTTACAGGTGGAGGGGCAGCAGAGGGGAGGTGCATCTCTCCCGATTTCCAGATGGGAAATTTAAGCACGCAAAGACTGACCGAGTTAGCAATAAAATGCCCAGGTACAGTCACCCAGCCTCAGCATTGCTCTGGTAGAGTCTATAACTGGCCTGGTACAGCACTGGTGTTGAGTGTAGACAATTCCCATCTCCAGCATTTTCTCCCTCGCATCTAAGGTATCTGTAGTCTGGCAATTTTGTTTAGAAATGTTGAAAATGAGACCTACCTTTTCCTGCTCCAGTAACTGTTGCAGACTTGCTTTATACTGAGGAGTTTTCATGTATGCCATGAACTGCATGTACTGGATCTTAAAAGAGTCTGCAAAATAAACAAGGAGATGATACATTTCAAGTGAGAGAAAGTGCAATGCTCCCATTTACCCGCATTTGCTCCCTTGACACCTCTGCCCTCTTTGCTCTCTCTCTCTCTTTTTACTTGGACTGTAAGCCAGACCAAGCCATTACAGATCAATTTAGAGCATGCTGAAAATCCATCTTCTGATGCAAGCTAAACTCTCGGATCCATTACCTACTTACAATAGGTACCCCAATGGAAGCCATGACAACGCAGTCAAAAACACAGAGGAAGATGATGGGTGCTGCCCTGGGTTAAGCAGAGACAGAGTTAACTTTCTAGCTAGCAAGAGGCTGTGTTTTGGATTTATGCTCACAAGAAAGCTGATAAGGGATGTTTTGTGCTGTTGCCAAGGTCAGATACTGTCAGCTTCCCTGCTCCCCGCAGACGGGGTTGGGAGGGCACAGCCCCAGTTACTAGCCCAGGATTTGTTCTTCGGTTACTAGATTGAGAACCAGAGTGATCAATAATCTATTCCATAACATACACGTCATGCCCAGTATATAGGTGAGGACCCTTACAGAGGATCGGCCCTTTTCCTTTGGGTTCTGAGGCCCTTTCGGTTTCGGTCTCTTCTGGCCCTGGATTGCTCTCCCAAGGCCTTTCCCCTCCCACCCCCCAGTCGGGTCTCGGTCTGGGATGGTCGGACTGTTATCTCCGGTCTGTGAGTGC